GGTGGGGAACCTCAGGCGTGCGGGCCGTATACGGCCCGCGAGACCATTTGGTACGGCCCTCGAGGTAATTTATAAACACACGCAAAAAAGAAAAATATTCAAGAAATCTAAACCGCAAAATAATTAAACAAGCTTGTTTTTCCTGGCCAAGTTCAGGGTCCTTGAACACAACACGAGCCTAACGTGTCATCACGTGGTATATGTCTCGTCTGACAGGAGTGTAGTTCTAACGGAGAGCACCAGAACGCGGCTCCGAGCCGGGACTTCACAAATTGCAGTACCCATAAGGAGCCGTACACATGCCGCAGTTTTTGCGTGGCTGTGTCTTTAGTTGTAAGCCCAGTGGCGATCTGTTCATCTGTCATACTGATCATACAGTCAATAACTTTGTTGTTATTAGCATCTGGTTAGCTAGCTATGCTAACGAATATAAGAAGCTTTTTCTCCAACCAGTGAGGTAAAGGCACATCTTTATATGATCATTATAGTTATAGAAAAATAAGAGATTAAAGTAAACAGGTATACAATACTAATATGACAGTAAAAAAAAGTTGTAATTAATAAACAAGAATACAGTTTAAAAGGGGAGTGATTTGTAAAATATCCATAAAGAAAAAAAATCTGCTTACAGTTCTGTTTCATATGGGTGTTGAGAGATGTATCCATAGATCTCTTCATGTTGCTCTCAAAGTGCACCAGATTGATGCTTTTAATTTCAACATTTAAAAAAAATCTTCCTGGTGATGCATGCAACTTTTACGAAAGCTGAAATATAATATTATTATATATACATTTTAAATAACAGAGTGGCTCAATGCAGCAGCAATGGCATACATATGAGGATTAAAAGCTGTTGTTAGTCATGTGAATGTGTGTCGTGGTGGTTGTGTTCTGCAGGCTCGGGGATCGAGAAGCCCATTGGAGAGGCCATACTGCAGATCGACATGATGCTCGGAAAAGAGCGCAAAATCATTGTGAAAGGTGAGAGTCATCAGATCCAAATGCACGAACAAATACAATTAAACCCTGATGTTTAAACTGCAACCTTAAATATCTAAACTACATACTGTACCACACCTAATCTCCAATTGTGCCTTTAAAGGACCAAACGGTTTGTTTTGTATGTCTTAAGCCATTAACTTGTAGTTGTTTATACCTTGTATTTCTGGGTTCAAGTGCTTGTCCTTAAAGGGGTCCTACTATTCTAATTTTCAGGTTCATATTTGTAATTTTAATTTTGTATAATCAAGGCTGAACTTTGAAGCCAAACAAACATTAAGAGTCATTATTTTTGGCTCAATTATAGGTTTTATTTCAAAGGATTGGTTATTTGAAAAGACCTTATTTTGCTGTCTAAATCAAAATAAATAAAGACACCAAGATATCTTATGTAAATCTTAGGTCTTTGCGGGGCAACTTCAATACCCTTTTAAAAATGAGCTAAAACCGACTGATTGTCATCAGTAATGCAAGGTGATTGGCTCTTAATAGTTTTATAGGAAACATTCAAAACATGGTCCTTTAAATAAGGCAGTGGATAACGTATTTACCCAACACACACATAACGGAACAGGAGCAATGGGATTTCTCCATAGGATTTTGGAAAATAGCTCGAAATAAGGTCTGTGGAAAACGAATCTGTTTGATAAATGCACATTTTGTTCAGCCGTATAATATCTACATGTCTACCATACTTTTATAATTTTCGAATCATAAATCTAATCGCCAGAAGCAAAATGCTAACGTTATGCTATAAACGAACTACAGCCGAGTACAGCAGGGTCGCACAACTTCAACGTCACTTCAACTTAAGATCAAAATGGTACAGGTTGAAGTGTTTTTTTAACAGTTTGCAGGAGGCAGGTACTTGCTTTCAAGCAGAACACGGGGAAAAACAGACTTAGCGGGAGTGTTTACGTGTTCGGTGTTATGACGTACAACGTCCTCGACAACTTCTGTAGTCCTATTCAGCCACTTGTTAACAACCATCGTTCTTCAGACACGTAAACTCTTCAAAGATCACCAGTGGGGTCACTGCTGATGTGTTTAATGTCGTAGAACAAAACGTGATCCGTCTCTTAAATTTGTGTCAAACACAGACCTTATTTCAAACTATTTTCCAAAATCCTATGGAGAAATCTCTTTGGCTCTGAGACGAGGGAACCAGTAGTGGTAAAATGCTAACTCCCTTCCAGGTTTTAGGACTCGTCACTGCACCACTCTATTGAAAAAATACTTTTACTATATCATTGTCAGGCCCTCTTATCTTTAGAACTGATAAATAGTTAGGGGTGCACCGAATGGGAAATTCTTGGCCGAAACCGATACCGAAAATAGGAAACAGTTGGCCGAAAACCGAATGCCGAAAGGCCGAAAATGATTAATAGAAATATATATATATATAATGTATACATTTTTTACCAATGTTGTTCAGCTGCCTGATTATGGAAAAAGACATGATTATGGCAAAACTTAACTTAAATAATAATCACTATTATGGGTCCATAAAACATTTATTCAGCACTTTTGAATGCATACAGTACATTAATTCCAAGTCAAGTGCATTTTCTTTTCTCTGTTGGATAACTACAACAAAGTGCATTCAGAACAAAGCCAAGGTGCTTTAAAACTGCATAAACATCTAGACCAGTAGGCCTACAACAAAATAGTGTAAATAAAGACTGTAACAGCCAGGCCTTCAACAACAACAAATGCACCTATAAGTGCATGCATACAAATGTGCAAACTGGATAAATCCACATGAATGTAACTATTTACAAATGAAATTACAATTCAATTTCAAGAATCTGTAAATAAGGCTGTCTGTCCTCATAAGCAAAGTAGTAAACATTGTATAAAGATACATAAAGTGAAAACTGGATACAAAATCCACAATCAATTACAAATTAAATTACAATTTCAAGAATCTGCAAATAAGGTGGTCTGGCCTCATGAGCAATGTAAACAACATTGTATCATTTAGATACCGAAAGTACAATATATTGAACACTGTGCTGCTGTCATTTCCCCCTAATGATAACCTGAGATGGTGAATTATAACTCACAATGAAAATTGTTCAGGAAAGTGGGTATAGAGTAGACATGTAGAACTAGATAAGCTTATGATAAGCCAGCCTTGTCTACTTATTAAGGAAAAGTGGGAGGTTATTTTTAATGAACAGTAGCTTCTCTGCTTTATCAGCCATAAGTCTGTTCCTCTTCTCATCAAGCACATGAGAGGCAGCGCTGAACAGTCTCTCGCTGTCAGTGCTTGTGATTTGATCTTACTCCGCATATTTGTCCGGGTGTTTTGATTTCAAGTGGTGGAGTAATCCCGAAGTGGTGAAAGTCTTTGCAGTTACACCCCCTCGAGAAATGTCAGCTGAACACGTTTTACAAATCGCAATCCGCGCCTCTGTCGCTGATATTTTTAAATATCTCCAAGCGCCAGACATGTTGGCTGTGAGCCAGCCGCGAGCATGGTCGCGCGCCGTTCTTGTCGCCGCGTTTTGATTACGTCATCACAACAACACGTTAGCTTACCAACGTAACCCTGTTCCCTGACATTCGGTGATATTTTTTCGGTGCTAAAACCCTTCGGCCGAAAGGGCCTTTTTAACCATTTTCGGCCGATAATTTTCGGCGGCCGAATATTCGGTGCATCCCTATAAATAGTCATGCAAATGGGGCACATACATACTCAATTGGATCAAAAGAGAGTCAAATATATATATTTACACATGAAACCACAAACACTTAATTGTATCATCTGATGGCACCATCATCCTCACTGCCTCTCTTCCTCTGTCCGTCCAGTCATCGCAGTGAATGACATGAAGTGGCAGACATCAGGGATGTTCCGGCCTTTCGTGGACGTCTCCATGGTCGGTCCCTTCCTGGCCGACAAGAAGCGCAAATTCACCACAAAGTCCAAGAACAACAGCTGGTCGGCGAAGTTCAACGAGGCTTTCCAGTTGTGAGTTTTAATTGTGAACTCTTAGACCTACAAATAAGCTCAGTGTTTTGTGAGATTACAGGCCAATTCTCGATTATCCTTTCTGCTCTGTAGTGTCCTGGGTAAGGAGTCCCCAGACTGCTATGAGCTTCAGGTGACGGTGAAGGACTACTGTTTCGGCCGGGCGGACCGGGTGGTGGGCATGGCCGTGATCCAGCTCCGGGACATCGCTGACCGCAAGAGCTGCGTCTGCTGGTGTCCGATCGGCCCGCGCGTCCAAACCGACGAAACGGGCCTGACGGTGATGCGCATCTTGTCCCAGCGGCCTGCGGACGAAGTGGCCAAAGAGTTCGTCAAGCTTAAATCTGAAACTCGTCCTGTGGAGGAGGGCAGATGAGCGGAGATGCTGACTGAAGAACAAAGAAATTGTGAAAATGTGAAACTGACATGGAGCATGGTCAGGGTGTAGAGTCAGGGCAATCTGGTTCTGTATGTTGTTTATGAGCACTTTTCATACATCATCCTCAGCAAACACAGACCATTAGAGCCTCTGACATGGAGGAGATCCTCAAAAGACAGAAGTAATTCGACAATTTGTCATAGCTATGGTAACAAGGAAATGTATTTAATTCGAAGGGCACATTTTGAGAAGGAGATGCTTTCTCAAGATGTTGAAAAAGAAGAACACAATCAGCACCAATCTTCTAATCCTGATGACGGACTATTTTGTATGCCTGTAGCAAATTAAACACGTCATCTGTTGGTGATCCGAGATGCTTATCCACAGCCTTTACCAAACAAAGTACATTTTCTCTGTCTATCCGACAGCAGGGGTGGACTAAGACAACAAAAACTCTGCTCTGGCATTTTAGCCCAGACCTGCCTACCATTTATTTTGATAGGTTGTTATGCCCTGAAGACGAATGCATATCAGCTCATATTAAGCTTTATGTCAAGATTCACATAATCTTACATAACAACAAAATGCCCTGGAAACGCAATTAACAGTAACTATGGTTACTACATGGAGACTCGAGGAGCCACTGGCTGAGTTTCTATGAGCAGCAATATGCTTAAAGGGTTTGAAAAGTCCAGGGCTATGTCCAAGGCGGCATTGTTTCTTATCCATTTTGGCCTGTTATGCAGATGTGCTGTTTTAATGAGTCCAAAGGGGGAAGGTCAAAATATGTGATTGGGTCAGCCCAGTGTCAATTGGATAAAAAACAAACAATGGTCCTCCTTACCTGTTTTATGGGGCCGGTCAGGGAGAAAAAAAAGAAAAAGATGGTTGTGTCGGCCAAAATAGCAAGGCGACCAGCAGGAAAATGTTCGCTATTCCACATGGCCAGTCAACCCCTGCCTAAAACTGCATGGACCTGAGTCGTTACTTCTGAGAGCTCATAAGGACTAATGTTTAACGATCATAAATCCTTTATGACATGAGAGGAAAATGAGTTGGAGGAAGTAATCCCAGATTGTGGTATTGGTGACTCCTGACAGTCGGACACTGCTTAGTCTGGTAGCCACTGTTTTCCCCCAAATAAGTGAAATTAAATGAACAAATGTCTGTGCTTAGCGTGAGCTCAACAATAGAGCCAAATAAAACAGCAAAACAGGATCGTGTTTTACTCGATTTTGATGATAAAATGAACTTTCACACACATCACAAGTCCTCATCACATCCTCTTATCCAGGCAAATTGCACTTGTAGCAACACATTTACTTTACAGAAATAAAGATATTCAGGATACGTCAATCCAGAGAGTGCATGTTATTAAATTGCAGCGTTTCTGGAGAGTTGATGCGAAGCTTCGCTAGAAAATAACCTCAGACAGTCATATTTTTCATGTAGCTGAACCAGGAAGAAGTCTGTCAAGATGCATGTGAAATATTTTACCAGAAGGAAAATCAAAAAAATTGGTAAAATCAAAAAAATGAAATACTGAGATAAAATCATTTGAAATACATAGCCTTAAAAAATGAAATCCTGCAAGCTATCGTAGCTAGCTCAGTGTACATCGTGCTCAGACTTTAGTGACGGTGTGTAGGATCTGAATTGAGTATTGCAACTAACTAAATACCCTTTGGCTCAGCCCACTTTTGAACCAAACATGAATGGATACAACATTGACTTGTGAAGTTAAAAAACTAGATTTTCTATGAAAGCGAAGAACTATAGTAGAGTTGTTTAAAATATTTGACTGACCTCTGAACTGTGGCCAGCTGAACATAGTTCAAAAAGAAATGCAGAGTCATAAGTTTTCTGAATTGAGCTCTTCTCTGTGTTTGCCATGTGTCAAACTGTGACTTTAGACTCTGTTTACCTGCAACCTGCTCTTAATGTAAAAAACGAACAAAACTTGACCTGATTTCAGAGGTTAGATAATGTTATGGAGGAACAGAAATGGACCTCTAAGAATTTAATATTAGTCTGTATTTGCCATTTTGAATTGGAATGAGAACTCACAGTAAGTCGTACAGCCTTGCCATGCATGCACATACTTTACCAATCATATGTTTGTGGATATTTGATTGGTTTTATTGCATTAAACACACTACAAACTTAGATCTGGATGAAAAAAACATGCAGGCAGGTTGTTCAATTGACTGAAGACTAACTAGGTTTGATCCACACTCTTGTATGTTTACTATGTGCCAAGGAACGCAAGTGTTCAGCCATGTTCAGCAAGCTCTCATCAACATTTTGTTTGCAGACAGAAGTGGCCATTGTAGATATGCCAATGCTTACTGCACGATTGCCCAAAGTAGCTGCACTTTGGCTCCAAACTCAAGAAGATCTGTTTGGTCATTTAGATAAATGAAATGGAAATGAGTTTTGTCACGGATTCTGCCGTATTAAACTGAACCAACATATTTCTGTGTAAGCTATTGTTATTTTACAATGGCCACAGCTGTAGGGACAACTGAACTCTTGCACTATGTTCAAAAACTAACTGTACATTTGTAAAAAAATAATAAAAAAGCCTACGACCAGAGCATGTATTTATTGTATACAAAGTCACCTAGAATTGTGATATTTTTCCTGTATGTACTGTGAAATATGAAGAATGATCAACTGTATTTAAAGTAGTTATCATTACTCTAATGTGACATATGTTGAATATACTTGTAACAATATTTTGTACATAAAATATTTATGAATCAATGCAGTTGGTCCTTTCCTTTGTTCACTAAAATACATTATGTTCCCATAAGTCTCAGATCTGGATTTATCAATCGCTCACCAGTGTATCTTTTTATTAACATAACAGATCAAAAGTAAAAAAGATAGACCCCCAAATGTATTGGCCTACACCTAAAAAAAACACAAGTATTGTGGTTCACAAATCTTTTAAAAAGAATAATATAATAATTGTATACCACTAAAGGTTAAAATAAGGGGGGAAATGTTACATCTGGGTCTGGCTAACAAGCTAAATACTACTTTACTGGAAAGGTCTACCTGCAGTTTTTGCAGACCCACTTCTGGGAATAACATGATTTTAACCAAAAACTATATGATTTTAACAAAAGGCTATTCTTACAGTGTACACTTAAACAAAATGTTTTAAGACCCTAATTTACCAAGTAGTTTGGGTGCCTCGAAGTCCTTACTGCGACCGTTTTGATCGTCGTGTCGTGTAGTGGGCAGCCCGGCCGAGTACTTATTTGACCTTCAGTGAGGAGATCAGTATGACAGCAGGGATGCTGAGAGACTAGTGTTCAGAACTTGAGATCAAGCAGAAAAGTTGCAACGTCTCAAGGCCCACAATGTCTTCGTACCGGTGAGTACAACAACATCTTATTGATGAATGTTACTTTTTTTTAACACAGCATCACGTTTTGCTTTAAAATATGTGTTTCTACAGTAGCTGCAGCCTCATTGGAGATTCCATTTTAAACACGTCCTTTTCTCTGCCTTCGTAATGTTTTAAATTCTACATGCATTGTCTCCTTTAATGTTAAACTTTAATCCAAGTAAATTTTTTACACAAATTCATTACTTCAACTTGAGAAAAATCCATTACCCTTTCCATCCCTGCCTCTACAAAGACTTTGCATAGGACTTGCTGAGTCAGTCATCATTGGGAATGTATCTTAAAGCATATTTTTACGAGCACCTATTCTGAATGTATTTATTTCTGTTTTTTTTGGTTTTGTTGTTTCACTCGAATTTCCTATTTATTTATTTATTTTTACAAGGACAAAGTTTACCTCTTTGTTGCTTTTAGTAAATTGGGCTAATTAGCAATAATAATAATAATAATAATACATTACAGTTATAAAGCGCTTTTCCTGGTGCTCAAAACGCTTACAAGCAAGTAAAAAAAATTAACAACAATAGTAGAAAGTGCAAAGCTAGGAGGAATAAGGGCAAGGGGTTAGTTGATTAGGAGTTGAAGGCAAGAGTGAAAAGGTGAGTTTTGAGAGATTGTTTGAATGATGTCAGAGTGTTGGCGGATCTGACGTGGCTGGGGAAGGAGTTCCAGAGTGTGGGGGAGGCTGCTGCGAAGGCCCTGTCACCCCAGGTCCGGAGCTTTGTCCTGATGGGCTGCAGTAGGTTAGCTTCAGCAGACATGAGGCGACGGGTGGGGGTTGTGTCGTTGGATGAGGTCACAGAGATAGGGGGGGGGGGGCAAGGGTTGTTGGAGGG